GTCAGGTGGAAGAGTACGTGTTTTACTGTGGCTTGATTATTAAAATAGGCGCTAGGTATTTTTTCTGAAATCAGGAAAGCCACTTTAGAAAGGACTGCCCAATGTTTTGGGAAGCAGTAAAGAGTCAAAATCTTTCAAAACAAAAGCTACCGCTTGCGGTGGTGCGAAACACTAGGAATAGACAAGCTGAGAACGACATGCAGAACATGGAGGTGACGATTTAACTACTAAATCAATGAAGGCCGTGACCAAAGAGAGATACCGGAGGGGCCAATCAAAAAGTTCACGGGAATAAACTATGAGAAAGCAGCAGCAGAGGCCATTAACAAAGCGAAACAAGATTTGGCGACAAAAGAGATCGAAGAAAGACTGAAGCAGGAAATAGAAAGACAACAGAGGAACGAGACACTCTCAATGGCAAGACCAGAACCAGAGACGAGGGACAATCCAACAGTCAGGAGCAATTACAACAACTTGAAAATGGTGATTGGGAAACCCTTCGGAATTACGAAGATTGGGGAGAGGATCATGTCAGTTATCACGGTTGGGGAACATGAAGTAACATGGAATCTGAGTGAACCAAGTGATGAAACCTTGATGCATAAAGATGTATATGCTGACTATCTGCGCACAATCAGCCCACAAACTCCTTCGACAGCATTTAGAGCATTACTCACGAGAAGGGGTAGAGAATCGAATAGGAAAGGTAGCAGATATTCGGAAGCCTATGGTCCACGTGAGGTCATGTTAAACATAGATGGAATCAATATCTACACCAAGACGATGATAACGTGTGATGAGGATCTTGCCGGTCAAATCTGCGTAGGCCGAGAGGAACTCAATGTGAGGTCGATTGGGCACTGCGCCATGCTAGAAGAAGATCCCATGCACTTGGGAACGGAAGCAGATGTATCCGCACACGTACTAGATATAAGCGGAAAAAAGACCCAATTACGAGGACTGTTGGATAAGGGAGCTGTCTTGAGCGTGATACGAATAGAAACATGGAGAAGAATGGGATTCGACACAGAAGACCTGGTAGACTCAAGGATACGGCTGTCAGCGGCAAACAAAGAAGCATTGAGGGACCTTGGGAGGACACCGATAGTAGCTGTGAATCTGGTAGAACGCAACCTGTGGATGAGTTTCCTGGTGGTGGAGAATCTAGATGAGTCAGATCAATTTGTTTTAAGCAGAGACATCATCAGGAATTTCGATGTGTAACGATTGATCTTAACAATGCGATGCTCAGGATTCTAAATCTGGAAAGGAACTACGTAATTAATCTGGTAATTTTGATAATTGCGAAGGAGATTAAAGCTCCTGTTTTCTTGAGGAGTGTGAGGTTGAAAGCGAACGAGGCCACAATGAAAGTTTGTGATTGAGGAACTATAATGAACCAAGTGATAATATGCAGGTACGTATTGTACCGAATCCTAATAGCCAAAGGGCTGCTATTTTCGGAAGATTATTCTCGATAACCTAGAGTGGCCTCTGAGTCAGTATCTTGTTGAATACTCTTGATGTATCGATCACAATCCAGAGAGGCAGGAAGCTGGGATACGCTCTGTCGGTAAAAACTAGATATGAAATGACTGAAAATGTGAACAAAAATGAAGTTTAAGGATTAGATTTGTATCTTGAGCAGATTGAAGAAAATAAAAATTTCATCAGCTCTTATCAAATCACTTAAGACAGAAACCGACGATGGACTTTCGAGCTGTTCGAATTTCCCAGAAAGAATCAGAAATGGATAAACTAAAAAAGTGTTACCAGAAATTGAACACTTAAGGGGCAAGGTGACGGGGGAACAGCTCGAAGACATCAAGGACGTGCTAGATGGGAACCAGGATGTATTTTCTAGACACAAGCGGACATCGGGTGCTGTAGTTTTGTTGAACATGGAATAGAACTAGAAGAGTCGGCAATACCGCAGAGGGAGGGGGCGAGGCGAATGACCCTGAACAAATCGTATGCATGTAGAAAGGAAATAGAAACCTTACAAGAGTATGATATGATAGAACCATCCAAATCACCGTGGGCGTGTGGAGTAGTGATGGTCAAAAAGAAAGAGGATCAACTGAGATTCAGTTGTTACTTTCGATATCTAAACTGCGTCACGGTGAAGGATGCCTATCCCATACCTAAGAGAGATAGAAGTCTTTCAAAATCGGGGGACGCAAAATTTTTCACAGCTCTCGATATGGGGTCGGGCTTTTGGCAGGTGCCACTTAGGAAACAAGACAGGTACAAAACAAGGTTTGCTTGCGAGCGGGGGCTGTTCCAAGGGAAGAGGATGCCCTTTGGCCTCTGCATTGCGACAGCCACATTTCAGCAACTAATGGCGCGGGCACTAACGAGTGTGACAAAGAGGTATGGCAACTTGGTGATGTGTTACGTGGATGACATGGTGATTGCAACACTTACCCTGGAGGACCACCTCGAGCGATTGGACGAGGTATTCGCATGCATGCAAACGGGAGAATTAAAATGCAAACCTTCGAAATGCGAGATTCTAAAGGAATCAATAAAGTACCTAGGGAGGATGGTAGATAAACATGGCATCTGACCAGACCCTGCTGCGGTAGAAGCAGTGCTGACCTTGAAGTCACCAAAAACTGAACATCAGTTGATGAGCTTTCTTAGGTTCGCCATCTACAACAGAGAGTTCATCAAGGGCTATGCGGACAAAGTTTATCCGATGCAACAACTCATGAGGCATATGAGGCATAATAGCAAGAAGTTCATGTGGAATAACGCGTCAGAAGAGTCATTTCATAGAATAAAAAAAGAATTGTGTGAAGCTTTTGTGCTAGACATGCCTACAGACAAGGGAATGTACTTACTGGACACTGACGCATCGGTTTTCGCGATCTCTAGCATACTCCATCAGGAACAGGAATGGAATGGAAAGACTGTCTTGAGAGCAATCGCTCACGATAGGAAAAACTTGAGCAACACAGAAAAGAAGTACGGGCACCCAAAGCGGAGATGTTCGCGGTTGCCATCTTTGTGGAAAAATACAGGGAATATCTAGGCAGCGAGCCTCTCAAACTACGGGTCGACAACAGGGCACTCAGTCGGCTGAAGACGCACTCAATGGATCAAGACTACATCGGGAGATGGATAGTGCGATTGGATGGCTACAATATGATACTTGAACCTAGAACGAGAGACAAACGCCAAAATGGCGACAGCTTGAGTAAGAAAACGGAATTATACGAGAGGCAGGAGCAGAGGGAGGTTAATATGCCTGAGATAAAAGATTGTTTCTCAGTTATGGACAAAGAAAAGAAATGTACAAAAACCTATCGCTCACGAGATGGCTCGACAAGGTAAGATATATTAGACCACCCAGAACTACCCACTGAGCATCGGGAAACGGCAATTCTGAAGAGAAAACCCGCGATGCCGATAAAAATCAACTCAAGTCAACGATAGTCAGAGAAACGCTGAAAGTAAAAAGTTACGACCTCGATGAAGTGGAAACAAGCAAGGCGATGGTAGGGCAGGATCTGATAGATTGCTTGAGAAAATATCCGACGACAAACCCGTGGTCTCGACCAGAAGAAATGATGAACCGGAAATCACCATAATGAGAAGAAAAGTGATCTCACGCGAAGAAAACTAAATGAAAGCCGGGTGACCAGAGAACAAAGAGGCGGTACGGACATTAGTCGAGAAAATCCCGGAAGACACACTCAGGCAAACAACGCTATGAAGAAAGAGAGTACCGTTTAAAGAAGAAGTAGAAGATCTCGGACTAGATCAAGAGTCCAGGGAGTGGCCGTCACCAGAGGGTGGTGGTGAAGAGGAAAAATTGTCCGAGAAGTTAGAGGAAGGGGAGGAAAGTTCAGTGGAAAGTGATGGTGGGCAAGACAGTCTCTGCATGATCTTAGCTGAAGAAAAAAGGAGGCCTCATGACAGGGAACTACAAACTGATCCCTCGTCCGGGATATACAACGTAGAGCATCATGACGTCAACGGAGTAGAGGAGCTACAGATGATAGCGGTATCAAGAAAACCTTTCAAGGAGTTATCATGCAACTCAAACATTAGAACAAATCTGGAGCCGAAGGATGATTGGGAGGTCTTGAGAGGGATAGTATGCGTCAAGCTTAAAGACAAAATCCACAACCCGGAAGAACTGAACGGATAAATGATGGCACTAAAGGAGCACTTCAGGGCGAGGTACAGGCTATCGGACCTGATACGAGCACAGAAAAACGACAAAATGACAAGCAAACTCTCCAAATAGATACGAACGGGAGTGGATGAAAAAGTAAACCCGGAGGAGGATAGACTACAATATCGTGAGCCAGTTCTACAGAAACTTAAGGACTTAATCTACCACACAGCTGATGGCGTGGTGGCCTGCAGGAGAAGAGACGAAGAGAAACTAGTACACAAGCATAATCTCATCATATAACCACATATTTACCAAACGGAAGTGTTGTTCAGATCGCACGATCAGATGGGAAATCAAGGGATAGGCAAGGTAAAGCAAAAAATATCACATCGAATTGACTGACCAGGGAATAGGAAGGTTTGTGAGAGATGGGTGAACGCAATTTTGTCGTTCTTGCAAGGTGAAGACCCAAGAAAAATGAAGTTCCCTCTCAAATCTGTGGAAAGCCCAGAATTCAACGAGGTTGTGCAGATAGATCACCAAAAGATCTGCATGACAGATTTGGGGATAACCAGATACTGGTAACCATAGATCACTTCAGGAAACTGGCCGAAGCAGTACCATGTCAGACAGCCTCGGCAGAGGAAACTTGCGACCACTTGATAATGCACTGGATATCGCGGTATGGTTGTCCGATGACGCTCCAATCAGATAACGCGAAAGCCTTCGTTGGAGATCTGACAAAAGAATTCATGAGAAGATCCCACATTGCACAAGCACACTCGACGACCTACCATTCATAGACGAATGGAAAGTAGAGAGGCAAAACAGAACGCTAAAGAATATGCTTAGGGTATAGTGCTCGAGGTATATGACGGATTGGGACAAATATTTGCCGCAAGTGGTGGGAGCGTACAATAGCACGCAGCACTCAACAACGGGGATCAGTCCTTTCAAGATGCAAACAGGCAGGCAGAGAGCAATAGCCCTGACGTTCTTCTATCCAGAATATGGAGGGCAGAAGACATCACCTCAAGCATACGTGAAGGAAGCATTCAAGAGACAACAGGAGTTGAACGAACTGTGCATAAGGAATACAGCCCAAGCACAGATGAGACAGCGGAGGAAGTGTGATGAGAAAATACTTCAATCGAAGCCATATACTGTGGGACAGCATGTCTGGGTGTTCCAGAATGTCATACCTCCAAAAGGGACGAAAAAGCTGCTAAAGAAATGGAGAGACCCGTTCATGGTAGCAGAAGTGCACCAGCAGGGTCGGTTCTATCGCTTGAGCACAGGGTGTGCGGAGCACTATGAAAAAATGAGACCTCACGTCCCGTCACCGTAAGACTGGTGTGTGACGCAAAACATGGAAGGACTCGAGTATCTACTGGTGGAGCCGGCGTGCGAGGTAAATGAGAAGAGCACCAGGGAGAAAAATGATGGCAACGAAAGCATGAGTTTGGACGACAATGAAAAGATAGAGGTAGGCTCGGACGAAAATCTTTTGCAGAAGAGGACTAGGATGAACCAGAACAGGACGAGGTGCCAAAAAGGACAGAACCAGATCCGCTCATGACAACGGAAACAGGAAGGGCGGGCGCAAGACGACAAGTATGAGGTACAACAGGTATGACGACGACTTCCTGATTGACAAAAAACAGACAGAAGAGCTAAATGCAGAGATGGTGATCATGGGCGACCTAGTGGCAGATGAGGAGTGGCAGATCATCAACGACAGTGAGCACTCGTGGCAGGAGGACCACACCATACCAGAAAAAGAAGTGGATCTAGAACAAAGCGAGATAGAAAGAAGAGAGAATACAATCTTGACGATACTAGAGTGGATGCATGATCTGAAGGCTGATGAGGAAGAAACGCAAAGTATCCAACAAGTTGACATATCAGCAGGGAAGCTTGTAGGAGGGAGAAACTCTGGTTGGACGGCGACAGACCAACCATTAAACATACACCTGACAACTTGAGCCCAACACCATCGACGGGGACGTCGATTAATTTTTTTGTCCGGGGACTGGAGCTAGGACTTACACACACCAAAAAATAATGATAATGAAACTCAGGGAAATGAGAGAAGTTAACGGACTGCAGCTGGATCAAGAAGAAGTAGTGCCTACCATTGGAAAAAAGTTCAAGACCAAGTTCGAGATACCAAATGAGTATACGGAAAATATCTTAATCACGGACAGTGATTTCATCCTGTCAGATAGGACCAGCGCAATCTGCATAACAGCGGATATGAGCTTCAATACCAGATTGGAAACCGAGTTTAAGAGAGAGTACCAGAATGTGGAGTTTCAGTTCAGGCAGAGACCAGGATTGGTAGGTCTGCCCTCACTTCCTTCTTCAGTTTCACAGGTTCCTGGCAAATACCTACGCTTTTTGGTAAAATGAGTCGGTGAGAGGAACGAGATAGATCCCGAGCACGTGATGCTGGTATTGACACGATTGAGGGACTTCCTGGTGGAAACAGAAATGAAAGAGGTTTCAATGCCAGTCTACGATCCAAACAGGGGCAGATTGAACCCTAGGGAACTATACACCATCCTGCGGTATTCGCAGAAACAGAGATAATGGTAAATCTACACAAGAAGTACTACTTCAGCATCGCCTGAGTTCCGGATGGATACGAGGGTCTCGAGTTGGGGACACAAGGGTCATGAGCTAGGTGAAAGGGAGGCACGCGACAGGAAAATGGGTTTTAGTATAATGGCATGACGATTAAAACAGAAATTTTATTTAGAACTATATGTGTTAAAACATAAAATGGACCTGCATGATTTTAATACCTAATTGAATCATTTTATCAGAATTTGTTCGAATAATGGTTCTAAGGGGGGAGGTTTAGATGGTCATGAGGGAAAAGTTTCTTGGTCTAAAAGGCAGCTTTATTTTCTGATCGATTTTGAATCATAAAGACAAAAGCGATAATTGGGTTGAAAAACACGAGAACGATAGCAAAACATCACTCAGTATTCTACAATCGGTATTGGAGTAAGGTATTTCTTGAGTTTTGATCTAGGTGAGGTATTTCTTGAGTGTTGGACAAGTAAAGTAAATTTCATGAGCAGAGTTGGAAATCTGTACCGGCAGCATTCAAAAATTCCACGCTCGATGAGCTATACACGCGCTTGAGGGATCTCGATTACACGCAAGCGAGAGGCTGGCAGTGATGCCTAATGCTACTCTGCAACTAGAGTCGCAAGGAGAGTGCAGGGAGTCGGCGACCGAGGCTGTATTGATGGTGGGCTACACCTCAGACGGAATTTCCAACCACGAGCAGACCAGGTGGCTCTCCTGGAACATCGACGGAGGCGTGAGTGGATTCGACCTGGCGAGAAACACCGGCTCGAACAACACGACGGAGTATGGCGCAGGGGAATTTCCCCTTTCGACCAAACCGCCGGCGGAGACTGGGACCCAAACTAGCAGCAAGGCTCTATCAATGATACGATACAGTAAACAGAAAAGTCATTTCCTGACCTCAGCAGCTTGAAGAGGGAACTGGAAAGGGTCCAAAGGGAAAGGGACCAAGCAAATCTTGGTAGGGGCAAGGTGATACTTGAACGGGACCCGTTGAAAGCGGAACGGGACCAAGCCCGAAAACTACAAGAGAGCGCGGCGAACTGCGACCAGATAAAATCAGAAATTGAGCGGCTGCAGAGGAAACAGCAAGAACTCGCGAATGGCAAAGAACGGACGATGAAGACGTCGATTGAGCCCATGATGACGAGATCGAGACCTATTCTAGAATGGAAATTGATGTAACCCCCAGGTCGGGTCGCCGCTTTAACCTGGACCGCGTAGCCCAGGAGCAAATGAATGAGGGCCTGGACACGTGGACGCCACCAGAACCCGCCCGTTCCTTGAGAGATCTTGACTCAGGTCGGATCAAACCACTAATGGATATTGCACTACCGGGTCTGACACCCAGCTCAACTAGTGGCAGTCAGGCTGGCGCGTTGACATCACGTCTCAAGGAATTACAAGAGAGGCTGCAGTCAAGGACTCCCGAGAGTCCGGCACGTGAGGCTGAGCCACTCAATTGGATATGATTGCCAACTACAGGAAGAACACCGATATAACCGCAAAACACCGATATAACCGGGTATAGAGGGACGCCTTCAAGGACGCGGCCTGGGTGGAATATTTCACGCAGCCTAGTATACCCGAGCGCACGGTCCACTTGATCATTGGGGACAGTCTTGTCAGGGTCCTGAGGAGGATCCAGGCGCACTGGCAGGCGGGAGTCTTGAGTTTATCGGGTGCAGCAACGCCCCAGATGTTTGCGTCACTAGAGATGCTGGAGATTGGAAAGATGTACACGGTCACCTTGATGATAGGAACTAACAATGTTTCCAGAAGCGAATCGCTGAAAATGATAAGGCTGCAGGACAAGGTGAGCTGCATGCTTGAGGAGCTGAGGAGCTAAATGAACCCTACGGTTCTTACGATTTGCCCGGTTCCCTACAAAATGATGCCAGACCAGAACACGATGAAAATGAATGAGAGAGTGCGCCACATCAATGATGTAATCAGGCGAGTGCAGAAGAGAAGCGTCCTGCCCGTGAGGCTGCTCAATGTCGCGAGAATGATGTAGGATTTCCTTCCGCAGAACTCATCTTCGGAAGGCATCCACTTCGATAAGCCCAAGGGCACGGAGTGGCTAAATGGTGTCTTTCAGAGACACATCATCAATCTAAAGTCGGATCTGGTGGAGACTGGCCAATTCACTTTTTATCCAACCCGAGGTCTTTCCTCTTCTCATTTAGTCCAGTGCTGACCGATTGTGAGGGATAATTGATTCTAGAGTTCGAAGAGCAGCAGAAGCAGGCAGCTGGGTTTGACACCCACGGAGAGGGATGAGGTGGAATCTTCCACACCACAAAGCTCAGTGGTGTCGTCAGTGGTGGTGGTGGAAAAGTAGAAGAACGGCAAAGCATCGACAGGAGGCCCTGGATAACCAAGCAAAGCCAGGTAATTCGAGCGAGTGAACGATCTGGACCTCAAGGATCTGGCCTGCAGGCGGGAGCTAATAGAGGTATTGCGACTCAAGAGTCTGTCCCACGAAGATCTGAGCAATCGCTATTGCGTGGACTGGCTGAAGGCACATGAAGCGCACTTTTCTCGAGATAAAACCTTGGAAACGGCAGACGTAACTGGGATTTCTAAGAAATCGATCATTGGACCAGTCAACTACCGGCCTTTCAAGAAGTTGAGAAGCCCAGGCCTCACCGGGGAACCACCGAAGCATCGCACGAGTATTGTCAGGATTAGGGTGGAGATTCCCGCGCAGTTAAGAGCCGTAGAAAAACGTCTTCAGCCGAAAAGCATGGGACTCCCCGATACTGCCTACTTGGGCCCGAAATTTTCAAAAAAATCCAAGATACGGGAAATCCTATGGGACCTTACAGCTGGCCAAGACTCTGGCAGTTTATGATCGCTCAGACCCTGGATCAGCGAGGGTGATCATTGTGGCGGGGTCGGACTTCGATGGAACGTCTTCAAAGTTATTTTGGCCAGAGACATTGGTGTACCTGCTACCAGGCGCGGAAATACACAAGATGTTGATTCTGATCGTGGCAATGAAGTCAGAGACGCCGCGTGAGCCTGATTTGTTGTTGTTTGCGGGGATGAACGATCACCTGCACGATGTAGGATTACTTGAGCCCCTGAGAAGCGTAGAGCCGATGTCAAAGAAGATCTGGGAGGTAATTCAGATATTGTTTGCTGCAATGAACGAGGTGCAGGAATTGGCGGCTTCTCGATTGGGGTCTAAAACAAAGGTGGTATTCTCTTCATCACCAGGCTATGCAGATATGCCACCAAGCTCTTCAATTCGTATACGCGATGTTGATCTTGATATTGGAAGACAGCGAGCTGCGGATGCTAATGGCCGCTCCTAATCTGGAGCTTGAGCCGGTTAACTTGAGACTTCTGAAGTCAGAAGAAGCGGCGGCATGGGCAGATGTGTGTCATGCCCTGAGGGGCTTCTATGAGCTCGCAGACATCTTGATCGTGTTGGATGAAGTGCTTTGTGATGAAGTGAGATATCTAATCTGTCTGGACAACTGAAGCTCAATCCTGAAGTGGGGTATGACCACCCCTTGGTGAGAACTTGAGCGCCATTTTGTGGCTGTGGAGCATAGAACTCACGATAACGGTTTGCACTAGCAACGCGAGATGACCTATCAACGATCGGAAGAACGAGGCAGGAGCAGAGAAGCAGTTGGAGTCGATGGTGTATCGACTGACTCAAGAAAGATAAGATGGCCGTTTCTGACACCAAGGCTGCAAAATGTGACAGAAAAAACGAGGGAAAGCGCGCACCCCCTGATCAAGCAAATATGGTTTTTGGAGGATCAACTTGAGATCTCCGAGAGGAGGGAAATGATGGCGGGGACGTTCGTTACGTCAACAAACGAGATCACCATCGCCGGTTTCTGGAGAGAGCATGCAAAGGGTGAATTGAATACCAGAAAATTTGACAAAATCTTGAGATTCTTTGAGTCCAAGCTGGGAGAAGAAAACCATGGACAAGGTATTTTACCCGGGAAATAC